CTTTTCTCCCCAGCACCACCTGGGGTGACAAGGAACAATGGTAATAAGCTGATGGAGAATAGGTTTAGGTTGGAGATCAGAAGGCAATATTTTACAGTTAGGGTGGCCAAAATCTGGAACCAACTTCCCAGGGAGGTGGTCCTCGCCCCTACCTTGGGCATATTCAAGAGGAGGTTGGATGATCACCTGTCTGGGGTCTTGTGAACCCAGCATTCATTCCTGCCTGTGGCAGGGGGTCAGGGTAGATGATCTGTTCAGGTCCCTCCTGAACCTAGCTACTATGAAACTACTATGAAACTATGATAAGTTTTGCCTTTTACTCTCTGCACCCTACTTTAGTTTGGGAGAGAACAGAACAAATGTTGGCCTTTTGTCGGGGCGGGGTGGAGGGGTGGGGGGGCTGAGGCATGCAGGTTACTTGCACTGGCAGAGGCCAGCAGTTTGGGGGTGCTTTCACACACTTCCAAGCATGCCCTACTGGCTCCCCAGGCTTCCAGAGACTCCTGGCCACCCCTGATTAGCTTCTGGGTGCAGGGGAGCAGTCTCCACCCCCCTGCTCTGTCAGCCACAGAAATTGTAAAGAATCACAAAGAAGCAAGGCTGGAAGTGACCTCCAGAGGTCATGGAGTCCAATCCCCTGCATGAGATAGGTTCAGCCCTATCTAAACCACCTTGTACAAATCCAGACTTTGAACTCTACAGAAGACTGGCCTTAGCCCTGGCACAAACCCCTGGGGCCCCCAAACAGAAGGCAGCTGGAAGCAGCCTAGTTGGGTAAGCAGCAAAAAGCTTTGGTTTCATATTCTGACTTTGGGGAAGGGGAAAGGGAATGGGGACAAGAAAGGGAAGAGGCCTCCTGGTTGTGGGGCTTGGGTCTATTAGCAGCTGCTCTCCATGATGAATCCAATGCCCTAGTAACCTCCTTTCTTATCTGCAGCTTCACAGCAGTAGGAAGCAAAAAACAGGGGCCACTGGGAGGCAGAGGGTGTCTCTGCCTCACTGAACTGTGCTGTCCAGAAGCTGAAGATGCTTTTGGGCTTTGAGGAATCACAGGGGCAGCTACACAGCTTGAAGCCAAGCAAAGAGACGACTGAGAGGGGATTTAATAGCAGCTTTAAACTACCTATAGGGGGGTTCCAAAGAGGATGGAGCTAGACTATTCTTAGCGGTGGCAGATGACAAAAGGAACAACGGTCTTAATTTGTAGCAAGGGAATGTAGGTTAGATATTAGGAAAAACTTCCAGAGTTTCTAAGCGTGTCTGGGATATATTTTTCAATCAGGAGGCGCTTCAGGAAGTAAGTGAAAGAGGTTCACTTAGAAGAAGGTTTTAGATTACATCAGCCAATAGTTCATTAAGGAACAAATATTCAAAATAATCTTCAATCAATTCCATCCCCCCCCTCCCGCCCATCTTTCTTGAGCGTGCTGCTGTTCAGGCCAGGTTAGAACACAAGTGGAAGTCACCAAACTGTATGTCTAATAATTTTACTATTTCATTCAGGCAAGTGCAGGAAAGTTGAGTCATGTTCTGTACTTGGTTTACATATACAGCTTTATTGAACTCTCCATATTATAGGTCTTATAATATCTTGTAATCTTGTAATCTTTCAGTTTTCAATTCACACACAAGAAAAGATTAAGAGGCAAAGGGTAAATAGAGGTATGAACCCCCAGTTGGGTTTTTCCCCAGTTGATTAGAAAGTACAATATAAGCATTTCCCAGTTTTTGGATCTGAATATCACGATTGTTCATTCAAGTGGAAGAAAGGATTTTGCATGCGTGTGTCTGATTATTGGAACAGAGCCACAAAGGTAAATGATGTTGCTAAAAATTCTTCAGCAGTATTGATGAGTATTTTGTCTTATCCCCATTTCTAAATGAAGATAGTGACATAGATCCCATATACAAAGTCTTTTGAGCTCTAATGATAAAGATCACTGCATAAAAGCTTAAAATTATTTTTTTATTATTATATTTCTTGTTATTTGGAGAAGTTTATACTGATTGCGGTTATTGTCCATCATTGCTCTTGAGTATCGAAATCTGCATCTGAAATATTAACTATAATCAGGCAGAAGGCATTACACAACACAAATTAAGGAGTTGATTTATGTAAATAAAAGCCATTTTAACTTGTAAAGTATCAATCACAAAACAGAGCTGGTAATCTGGAATTGCTTCAGGGATTGGCTGTAGTGAGTCTAAGTGTTATATGTCACATGGGTCATTCCTCCTGTATGAAATATGAGTGACAGGGCAGGCAAAAGTAAGTGCAATACATATCAGTGACAACAATAATAAAAGATGTGAACAACATTCCAGCCACAAAATTAATTTTACTGTAGGTTTCTTATTCTAGTCTTACATAAGATATGGTTCTTAGAAAAAAATTAAACTGAGAAAAGCCCTGATATGTACTGTTTAAATGGATTCTGAGGGAAGAGAGCGAAGCCATTAAATGTTGCTGGTGTATAATACAATACAAACACTAAGCAGCCACTTCTTTCCTAGTAAAGCAATATATTACACAGAATTTCCTCTGAAGAACTTGTTTTATGTTGTATGGAAATGTTGGTCTTTACAGGTGACTGCAAATGAAACATAACATAAGCTGATATTCTCTTACTTTTAGCTTCTGCATATATAAGAGAAAATTAGTCAAGAATGGAGCCTTCAGAAAAATATCTGTACAAATATAAAGGAATGTATTTCCACCCTGAGTATGTTACACCTGAATTAATTGATTCACTGGAGGAGTTTGAAATCCGAGTCAGTGATGTATTCCTAATTACGTATCCCAAATCAGGTCAGATTTGTATCATTTTCCCTAAAGTTTGAACAACCAATCTTTGGTCTGAGGTCTTTCTTTATCCCCCCTTTATCAGTATAACTATGCATAGGGACAGCTTTTGTCAGAATTTCTGCATTGCATTGGAGCAACTATTTTAGGCCACGTTTGAGACTGCAGTTTCCATTGCATTTGAAAGTGGCCCCGGGGATGAGCTTTAAGCTTTGTGTCTGGTGTAATTTGGATTTGGGGTGTGGACAAGAAATGGGTGAGCATGTCCCAGCTGGGATAAGTTGCTGTCTTGGTAGCTTAATATATAACAAACCCTTTACTGGATCTCACTTTTCATAATATGAAATGAAGCATAGTTTTAAAGAGACTGTATTTACAATGTATTTGTGAGTTTTAATTACATTGAAATACAAAATTAAATTAAATTAATTTTAATTAAGTTAGTCAAAGTATAGTCAACAAACATACACATATACAATAAATACAACAAACAAAAATTCAGATACATTAATTTCTTTCTTAGGAACTGTGTGGACACAGAATATTTTGAGCTTAATTTTTCATGAAGGCCATCGGGATGAAACAGAAGACATTCACGTAATAGATCGAGTCCCATGGCTGGAGTACAATTTGAACAAATTGGATTATGCCAACCGTCCTTCACCTCGTCTCTTTACCACCCACCTGCCTTACTATTTAGTTCCAAGAGGTCTGAAGAACAAAAGAGTAAAAGTAGGTGATGTGATCTCTTAATTTTAATTGAAAGGAATACAGACAAGTCTAAAATTAGCAACCTCTCATCTCCAACCTCCCTCAACAGCCCTTTCCAAGCAAAAAGTCCCCTTCCTGTGAATAGAGGTGTTCAAGTTCCCACAAGACTCCATGTCTTTCCCAAAGAACTCATTGAAAATGAAGACATGGTCTGGGTGGTTATTAAACTAACATGATAGGGTCTCATAGGCTTATGCTGTCTTCTTCCACTCTGGTGCTTTTCTTTAAAATGTAAAGTTTTTCATGCTTGCTGTGCATAGTGCTACCTACCACTGTTTTGAGAGGAAGGGTAAGAACTGTGGAACAATGTCAATTGCTTACATTGCCCGTTGGGTCTCCAGCTGAGGGACAGTTCTGCAGTTCGTGGTCTTGTCCAGTAGGCTTGCCTGTTTCACTGTGGTATGGGGACCAGAGCTCAGTAACAGCAAGGTTTTTCTGTAATGTATATGCGAGTGTGGTTCCTTTAATCTTGCAGGTTATTTATGTTGCCAGGAACCCAAAGGATGTGCTGGTGTCCTATTTTCATTTTTCCAAGATTGTCATCACCCTTGAGGAAATCCCAGATTTCAATATTTTCATGGAGAGGTTTTTAGCTGGGAAAGGTAACGTATTTTTGCTAAAAGGCCAAGCCTTGGTCCCTGAGCACAATCCAAGTGAACTTTAGATGCATTGGCAACTTTTACAGAAGCTGGAGCTGGTAGGAATGAGGCTTTTCCTCCCTTTCCTACCCTCCCATATACCACATGAGAATCAAAAGCTGCAGTGACTGTAGCAGCAGCCAGAGCTCGGTATCGAACATGTCCTCATACCAGTAAGGGGCAAGCTGCCTCATTTATTTCAAGTGAATACTTCCCCTGAAACATCATAATGAAGATTTAAATCTATTTCTGGGCCAATGTACTAAGATAACCAAGTTGAGTCCATGAGGATGATCACTGTACAAAGAAAACACAAACAAGGTTTTCTGTTATTAGAAACACGCCACTAATATGTTATCCCACTAAGCTAAAGCCCTACCTCCCTGATAGCGAAAACCCTCAGCTGTCACCTATCCAGCTTCCAAATTTTCTTTTAATCTCTCTTACAATGCAATGATCTTACAAACGGAGGCTATGGCACACTGAAAATGTAAGTGCAGATTAAAATCAGTAATAAAATTAGGAGTTCTGTAGTGCTGCTATACTCAATTGCATCTTTAATTCAATATAATTAATCTATTGTTGCTAAAAATGTTGCTGAATAATCCATTTTGCCAGACTGAAAGAGCAAAAATTAAGCCCAAAGTGCTGCCCCTCTTGCCTTATTCCCTGCCCCAAAGAAAAAAATAACTTTGAAAAAAATAGCCATTGGATTATATCATATTTCTCATTGCACCAAAGCAATGAGAAATATTATATAAAAAGTAAAAGCATAATAATGAGCATAGACATTTTGTGCCACATGGTATTTACATTCTGGACTGTTACTGATGTACGTAGTGGTCGTTAATTATCATGTCAAACTTAAAGTTGGCAGTCCTCACAAACAAAAGATAGGATAAGGCTTATCCTCCACCATGTGTTTAAGAGAGAACGTAAACCAGAATCAGGCTGTGAATATAAATAGGAAACGAAAATAAGTTTCTGGGAATAATTCAGGAATTATGCCTCAATATCCATAAACCAGCACATCGGAAAGAAAAGAAAAAGGTAGTGTATGTAAGTGCTTCCACAACCCTGCTCCTGGTGATTTGGAGGGCTAAATATACTGAGAATGTACTTATTCTTTTATGATAGGTCATTTTTTTTTGTTATTCTAATATTTTCTTTCATAAGTGCATAGTAGCTCATGGCTGGATCACGTCAGAGGCTGGTATGACCACAGGGATGAGTTCAGTATCCTCTTCCTGACTTATGAAGAGATGATAAAGGTAAGGACACTATCACTGTAACTAAGAAGACTAGTAAACAGTAGGCCATGCTCTATCTCTCTCTTCACCACAAGCTGTACTTTCTCTGTGTGGATAGACTCCTCCCAGACTTATAGCCCCATGTACTTTGAAGAGGTGAGTGGTTCAACAGGGCAATGGCTGCTATATTCTAATCGTTGTGTGTGAACAAGCTAAGAACAATGCAGATTTAAATAAACACACTCCAACTGCTGCTGCAAGCATTGTTGAAAAGAACTTGAAAAAATCCGAGGAAGAGGGGCATGCCTTCAGCTAAAGATGAAGGCCACCCCCACCCCCTCCCCACATTCAGTACCAGTCTAATCAGGGAGTACAATTACTTTCTGACACCACCCCAACAAAGGGCATTTGGTCTGACCCTGAGCAGAAGGGCAAGACCCTCTAGCCAGGAACCTCCATATTCTTGTCCCAGCAGGACTATCCCAGTCAAAAAAAAACATCCTTGGCTGCCTCCAATACCCAATTCTTCTGAGGAAGGCAACCCACCCCACCCATAAACCCCCTGACACATGTAGCAAATAGGAGAGCGGGGAATGCCTTACTAGCTCCATGTGGGAACCAGCAAAAGCCCAGAAGTATGTGGAACTCTAAATGCCTTCATATTGCTCTGCAACCCTTTTGAAAGAGCTCCAGACGTATGTGTATGTGTATCCACATCCAGGTACATTGGTTTCATTGGTACAAGCGTCAGTGAAACTCCTTGATAGATGCTTTTCAGTGGGAGTCTAAGTAGCACAACTAAATCACAAGGTGAGATTTTTATAATCACCTTCTACTTAGACGGTCAGGGTTCCTAAGCTTACAGAGACAGGAGAATGACTCCTTGGTCTACTGGTTAGGGCACTTACCTGTAAGAGAAGAGGTCCTTCATTTCAGTTGTTGTTCTAAGAAATAATCCTGTATTTTATTCAATGCCTATTTAATATTAAGTGCATAAGGAACCCTATGAGCAAGGACTCAGGATTCCCATCGCTGTATCCTAGCCATTAGGTTACTGAAAATTTTTCTCATTTTCTCCTTCTCCCTCTTAGTTAATCCTGAATTCTTACCTGCCCAGTGGCAGTACTTCAAGAGCCTAGCTGATAGTGTTGATGGTTTGAGCACTTTCCTGAAAGGCGGGAGATGTGGGTGGAAACCCCCAAGGCTGAGGAGGGCTTCAAACCCTAGTGTGCCACTTTTGCACAAGTGCTATAGCCATTGGATGACTATGCAAAATGGGAGCACTGCACCAAGCACTGCCTGCCATTGGCCATGCTTAAAAACAAGAATATGTTTTACTCAGTTCTTTGAAAGAATGGTTATAGGCAGATAACCACAAAAATTTGCAACAAGGTCACTAAATGGTCCTGTTTGTGAGATGCTGAAACCTTCTAAATATAGCTCTCAGATAGGTTTTGTGATAAAAAGGGCATCAGGGTATAGAATACTAAAATCATAATATATCTGGTCACAAATAATTCTCACACACAAAGACAGACTTTGGTTTACCATCCTTGTTTAGCTCTAATACTGTCATTTGTTCTAACACTTGATTTCTTTTGTTTTTTACCTTTTTAAATGGAAAAATGGTAAACTAAAACAATGCTCTTTGCAGGATCTCAGAGGTGTTGTGTTGAGAATCTGCGACTTCTTGGGCAAGGAGTTGAGTGAAGATGACCTGGACACTGTAGTGAAGAAAGCTACATTTGAAAACATGAAGGAGGATCCGAGGGCCAACTATGAGACCATGCCAGGTGGTCTCTTGGAGAAGGACAAGGGACATTTTCTTCGCAAAGGTAAGGCAGATGTGGCCATATATGATGAAAGATGAATACAAGATGCGGTAAATGTAACTTTCAAGGACCTTGAATAACTGAGAAAGTTCCATGCCCAGGGAACAGAGGACTCTGTGGGAGTAAGATTTGAGAGTGGGGGGTTTCTCACTGGATAAGAGTATCTTGGGCACGATATAATGAAGGCTAAAAGAGCAGCAATATTTTGTTCAGTGCAATGGAAGGTGGCATGACATTGCCCTAATGTATAATTGGTAGTGAAGGACACTGCCCTTCCTTTTATGGGGTTTATACGATTCCCAGATGTTGGTGAACAAGCACACAAACTTTTAATGGAGAGGAAGGGTGTCACAAACAAAGACAAGGGTTTGGCTATTAGTCATTTGAACTTCAGGGACAGCACTCTAAAAGATAAAAGGGAGGATACCTAAGTTGTGACAAATCAGTCTGGGTTCCCTACAGGCTCCATGGATGACTTATCTTAGAAAATGTAGCTAGCCAATTATCCAGGGGTTTTGGCTGTAGCTGTGTTGGTCTAAGGACATAGGCAGACAAGGTCCTTTGGGTAAATGTGACATCTTTTATTAGACCAAGTCAGCATTTGGAAAATTGGTCTTTGCAAGCTTTCAGGCACAAAAAAAAACTTGCAAAGAACATTTTTCCAACTATTTAGTTGGTCTAATAAAAAATATCATATTCACCCAAAGGACCTTGTCTGCCCAGTTTTATCCATGAAATTTCACACACACAACTCTAATTTAAAAAATCTGGGGTTGTCTATACTGGCCAACTCTGCCAAACTTCTGGGAACATACCTCCAAATCTGTAGTGCCATGAAGGGTTATAGTTTGAGAAACTGAGATAGCAGGCTCTGAAGGAATGATCCCCTGTAGTAGCCTGTAGTACTTCTGAAGGGCACAGGTTTTATCCAAAATCAAATAGTGTCCGAGCAGCACCCATACATCTGAGAACTAATGTCCCCGTGCCTTTTCTCTTGCCAGGTACTGTTGGAGACTGGAAAAACACAATGACAGTGGCACAGAACGAGAGGTTTGAAGAGGTCTTTAAGGAGAAAATGAAAGACCTGCCTTTCAACTACGTCTGGAATAATGAAGAAGCAATCTAAGTGATTTCCAATTTGTAAGGAGAAAAAGTGGGCTAAGGATAATAAAAAATATCTTTGTTTCCAATATAAAATGTTTAAATTACAATCTGTGGTTTTGTGCAAATTGAAGATATGGAACCTATTGACACTTACCACCATGGTATCAGAGTTCTAGGATGTCAAAAGATGTTATATAGAAATAGATACATTAAAATCTCAACCCAGACACATAGAATAACTAAGTATAAAACCCAACCAGACTACTAATGCCAGGATGGGATATTTTTAGGGGAGAGAAGTTAGGTGCTAAATGAATTGTAATAAATATGTTTGTAGAATCATAGTTAAAATCTGTTCTTATTTAGACTTGCTTAATCCAGCAAAGCCAATGGAATTTGAGTGCAATTTTGCTCTTTTCCTGTTGCAAATGTATCAGACAAACTTATCTTGTGATACCAAAGCATATATTAAAATGCCCGTCTTCTGTACTTCTTCATAAACCTCTAATTCATAATCACTTAATATTAACATCTTATCACCATGGGAAATAGTGGTTTCAGTGCTCAAAATAAGTGTACAGCTGTTGCTACTCCAAAGTATTCTGAACCTTCTGTGATAAACTCTAGGGTTCAAGGCAGAAAATTCAACAGTTTCATAAGAGGTAATGAAACATCTTGTAAATATATCTTAAAAAGGTTAGCTCTTTTACAGCCAGCTCCTCTTTCATCCTGTAGTTCCTATATCCAATGCCAAAATTCAAGGCACACAGGACCAGAAATGAAAGGGTATTTAAGCACTTATATTAGGCTTTATATCCTCTTTGTTAGGACATTCACTTAGGAGGGAGAATCCTGGCTTCCAGTTTCTGCTTCAAGGACTGTGCTTGTATATGGAACAGTACATAAAATACCACTAGAATAGTTGCTCTATGGCCCAATAAATATTCTTAAAGGTATGTGGATTTGATTTCCCTAAGGCTGAAAATGGAATTAAACCTGGATCTCCCACTTCCTACATTAATACACTCATCATTGCACCAGGGATGTCATACTCATTTGGTCCTACGCACTGCATTTGGACCATGGGGCTCCTTACAGGCAAGACCTGTACCCACTTCCAGCAGCAGGTTGAGTGGTGGTGGCTTTAACACCTGCAATTCCTGGTGCTACTGTTTCAGCTCAGGGAGCCATGTAAATTAACATTACCATCAGATATCCTGCCAAAAGCAGTCCCGGAAGGGATCCGTGCCCAGGATTCTGGTGGCAAGGCAAGCTTATACAATTTAGATACTCCAGAGGCTTGGAGGGAGAGGGGGGCTAGAACTGCTGAACAGGGGGCTTTCATCATTGTGATTTTGGACTCGCATGTCTAAATTCCCTTTTTGTACAGGTGGGCGTGGTGAGGAAATCAGGTTGAAATACATTCTGAAATCTGGCCAACTGACAGAAACTCTTTTCACTGCAATTTACTTCAGCATAACACAATGTGCACAAGAAAGAATGCTCATCCTTAGTAAATATCAAAGCTTATTGCTGACATCTGCAGTTCACCTTGCTTTTCTAGTAATTTCAGATAACCTGACCTTAGTGTTCAGAGAGCTACAACATTGCCCAACAACCTCTGACAAATACTTTTTTTGGCCATATTTGGATGCTTTGATACTTTCAGGGATGTATTTCAAACAATATAATGGGAAAAGAAGTGTGTATTGTTCACGATTTTTACCTTGTTTTGGTTAAGAAATGTAGCCTAGAAGCAACTTGACAAAAAGCATCAATAGTTGTTTATATCTATGGTACATGACTGTAAACACCTACAAGTAGATGAAATCTAGCTAAACACATTCTCTTACACAGATCACCTTGTTGGAGCCTGAAACCTCTGATACAAACCGGGAACAATAGCAATTAACTCAGAGTCCCTGTACTCTAGGGCTAGGTACAGACATTCAAAAAGCCTAAGGCAGAAGTGACTGATACGTTTTTCCCTTTACTCTCAGTGCCCTACATTAGTTTGGGAGAGAACAGAACACATGTGGGCCTTTTGTTGGCAGGGGGTGGGGGGTGGAGAAGGGAGGCATGCGGGCTGCTTGCACTAGCAGAGGCCAGCAGTTTGGGGGTGCATCCGCACACCTCCCAGCATGCTCTGCTGGCTCCCCAGGCTTCCAAAAACTCCCAGGCACCCCTGATTGGCTTCTGGGTGCAGGGGAGGAGTCCCTGCCCCCCCTGCTCTGTCAGCCACAGGAAATGTAGAGAACCACAGAGAAGCAGGGCTGGAAGGGACCTCCAGAGGTCATGGAGTCCAACCCCCTGCATAAGGCAGGTGTAGCCCTATCCAAACCATCCCATACAAATCCAGACTTTTGACTCTATGTAAGGCTGCCCTTAGCCCTGGCTCAAACCTCTTGGGACCCACACTGGGAGCAGGCTAGCTAGGCAAGCAACAGAAAGCTCTGGCTTCATGTTCTGGAACTGGGGAAGGGGAAGAGGGAGAAGAAGGGGAAGAGGCCTCCTGTGTGTGGGGCTTGGGTCTGGCAGCAGCTGCTCCCTGCCATGGATCCAATGCCCTGGTAACCTCCTTTCTTATCTGCAGCTTCACAGCAAACAGAGGCCACTGGATAGCAGAGGGTGTCTCTGGCTCACCGAACTGTGATGCTCAGAAGCTGCAGATGCTTTGGGGCTTTGGGGAATCACAGGGGCAGCTATGCAGCCTGAAGCCGAACAAAGAGATGACTGAGAGGGAACTTAATATCAGCCTTCAACTATCTGAAAGAGGGGTTCCAAAGAAGATGGAGCTGGACTGCTCTCAGTGGTGGCAGATCCATAGACTAATAAATTGTTAGGGGCTGGAAAGGACCTTGGAAGATCATCAGGTCCAGCCCCCTGCACCAAGCAGGAAAGACAACTGGGATCAGGTGACCCTAGCCAGGTGATCGTCCAGTCTCCTCTTGAAGATTTCCAGGGTAGGCGATTGTACCACCTCTGGAGAGAGCTTATTCCACAGTCTGGAAGCCCTAGCTGGGAAGTAGTTTTTCCTAATGTTGAGCCTGGAACCATCTTCCAGGAGGTTGTGACCATTACTTCTAGTTTTCCACAAGGGTCCCCTGGTGAACAGTTGTTCACCGAGCCCTTGATGTATGCCTCTGATGTAGTGGCAAGCTGCTACCAAGTCGCCTCTCAGCCTTCTCTTTTTTAGGCTGAAGAGTCTCAGATCCCTTAGCCTTGCAAGGCCAGTATGGCTTGCTGCACAAGACTCTGATCATATGGGTGGCCCTTCTCTGGATTCTCTCAAGCTTTGCCAATTCCTTGTTAAAGTGTGGCACTGGACTCAGTACTCCAGCTGCAGTCTCACCAATGCTGAGTGGAAGAATCACTTCCTTGATCTTGCTGGAGATATATCGATTGATTCATGCCAGGGTATTGTTAGCCCTGCTATGTTCTTGAGTGTATGCAAATGCATGCTGTGTTTTCATAAGTGTGGCTGCCAGGATCTTGCTAAGGCATCAGTGGTGAGCTACAAAGAAAACACTATACTCCAGTGATTCTCAATCAGGGTCCAGCAGCATCCTGGGGTACCACAAGATCCTTTTAAGGGGTGTTGCAGGGTGCCAACCAATATTAACACTGTTAGGTTGCAAACATATGATTCATAAGATAAACCCAGAGATTTCAAATAGAAATCCTTAGTGTCAAGAACATGTGACCTATTGTGGGCTTTTTTAATTCTTTGCAGCAGAAAAATTGCTCTATCATTTTTCAGTAGTCAAGAAATCAGTGGAAGCTATAAGCTGGCATTTTCTGCGTGGTGCCAGGAGTCTAACGAGGGTTGTCTGGGGTCAAAACTGTACCTAGACTCCTGGTGACACTGGGCAAATTTTTAATATTGGCCCCTCCTTTGCCACAGATAATGGTAATAATAATTTTAAAATGACTATTTTTGGCCCCCCTTTCTCTCTGGACCTCAGGCAGCTGCCCAGTTCACCCATGCCTGTGTCCGGCCCTGCCTGGAGTTTAAAAAGATTGAGAACCACAGCTTTAATTACTGTACTTCCCTAAGACAAACCAGGGTTTCTTCACTTTATGTGGGCCCTTTCCCTGGGCAGGGGTCTAAGACCAGAATAGACACTTGTGTCCTTCCCTGAATAATTTGATGCACTGTGAACACGTTAGCACTAGTTGTGATCTACTAGAAAGGAAAACCAGTTCTTCCTTAAATCCCCCAAGTTATGACCCCATGGAGGCATATCAGTCTCCCATGGTAAAAATTGAAGCAAGCTTCCGTGCTGTGGCCAACAGATTAGCAAAGGCTTCAGGCCAAGACCCACAGGTTTCAACAGAATCTGTTGCTCAACCATATGTTTCAACAGCGGAGTGCTTTGGTCTTATATGATCAAAGCTGGGTGCAAGATGGTCTTGTTCAGCTTGTCACCGTGTGGCCAAGCATTGAAGACTTATTGAGTTGCTCAATGATTGTGCTCAACTTGCTGCCCCTTTAGCTAAGTATTGGTTTTGAATTGTTACCTTTTGTGGTTAGTTATATGAGTTGTTGTACATGTATGGACTCTCACACACATACCGGCAAAGGCATAAGACCTGAAGAATGTGCCCAAGGAAGTCCTCTCACTCTCCCCACTCCTCCTGGGCAGCATCAGGGACATGGCAGTGTGTGTCATGGAGTACAAGGTGTTCTGAGAATCACTGCTCTCTAGAGCGGCAGTAGAGTTCACTGTTGCTGGTATGGGGGGGAAGGGAGGGGGACTTTCACCCTATTTTTTACCACCAAAGTCCATGTTGAGAGGGCAAAAAAGACTTATTTTGGCAGCAAAAAATGAGGGTCAGTTCTCCCCCAAAGCAGCAACAAACTCCACTGCTGTTCTACAAAGCATGGGGCACAGGTCCCACTTGCCCACCCCACGTTACATGACTGCATATTGGAACCAGCGCTTTAGAGAGAACACGCTGTTATGGGTCCCCTACCCAATTACTGAAGAGGTGAGAGCGCCAGGGAGCAACCAGCTGGCTCCAGGTCCCTGGAGGGACCAGCAGGGGTGGAGAGCCTTTCAGGAAAAATGGCTGCTCGTTCCAAGTGCAGAAGACCATCAGGGCTGTGATTGACAGGCCTGAGGTAGGGGGCCACAGGCTTCATAAGCCCAGGCCCATTGCTGAGGCAGGGAGGAATAGGCCCTTGCGGCAAAACAACCATTTTAGTTGTACTAGGGCTTAGGTAGAGAAAATCTGCAACTTTTCTTTGCAGGCATCCTAGGAGAGAGCATTAGAGCTAGTCTCTCAGGCCCAGAGTTTCAAAGGGTGTCTGGGGTATATTTTTCTTTTAGGAGGTGCTTCAGGAAGTAAGTGAAAGAGGTTCACTTAGAAGAAGGTTTTAGATTGCATCAACCAATAGTTCATTAAGGACCAAATGATCAAAGTAATCATCAATCAATTCCATCTCTGCCCCCCTGCCCCCCAATCTTCCTTGAGCATGCTGCTGTCCTGGACAGGTTAAAACACAAGTGGAAGCTACCAAACTGTCTGTCTAATAATTTAACTGTTGAGTTAATTCATTCAGACAAGTGCAGGAAACTTGAAACATGTTCTGCATTTGGTTTAAATATACTACCTTTTTGAACTCTCTCCACATTTCTAGGTCTTTTCAGTTCACAGATAAGGAAAGATTAAGAGGCAAAGGGTAAATAGAGAGTAGGTTACGTAAATAAAAAGTTGGTTAGAAAGTACTATATAAGCATTTGCCAATTTCCGGATCTGAATATCATTCAAGTGGAAAAAAGGATTTTGCATGTGTGTCTGATTATTGGGACAGAGTTGAAAAGGTAAATGATGTTGCTAAAAATGCTTC